GAGGGGCTGTGGCAGGAAAGCTGCTACTAGTGTAGAGAAGACAGCGGGATTTCCATTCTTCTCAATGTTAGCCACAATAAGTTGTGGCAGTGAAAATGCCTTTGGTAATACTATGCTGCATTAAAAAACAAGGAACTCATGCAATATTATTCAAAATGGTTGACTCTGGAGAACATTATGCTGAGTGAAATATCCCAGTCACAAAAGGACAAATATTACATGATGCCACTGTTGTAGAATGGGACTGTCCTTGGGGTTGGGGAGAGACTGAGTAAGATGGGTTCAATAATGTATACTGCACTGAAACAGAGGAGGGAGAGAACCGTCTAAAAGAGAGATGTAACTGGGTATTTCTGTCATCACAGGAGACTAGAGCGAGGGCTGCATGGTGGAGGGGACCTGGGGGAGGGTTTGTAAAACAATGAAAGAATCTTTTCTTTTACTTTTCCATAATTTTTGGACTCATGTACTTATAACTTGTTAGTCAAATTTGTGTCTTCTAGGTTGCAACACCCCCATGATACATCTTGAAGGATATGTACATGTACAGCCAAGCACAATCAATAAGAGTGCATCTGAATTCCAAAATCAATCTCCATAATAGTCTATGTGTTTCCTACTGCCAAAGGGGCCCTTTAGAGTAGTGAGAGAAGATCTTCACCCTGAAACCCACAGCATCCCTTTTCAGCAGGAAGTAGCTAGGAGAATACGCCGTCCCCTTTTCCTTATGACTCAGGGTGAAGTCTCTCTCAGGGAGGAGTGATAGGGAATGGCAAAGGACACACTGACAAAGAAGATTAATCAGAACTGGCTTTGACAAGCACTGTGGCATTTGGACAAGAACAAACTGGGAGGAGGGTAGAGAGAATAGTGCAACAATGAATGAGTGGAAGCCCAAAATCTCTGTAAATGTTTATGAAAATTAATAAAATATAATTATAGAAAAAAAAAAAAAGAAAATGCCTTTGGTAGTACGTAAAACACAAGTAGACATCCTGCTACTCTTTGCTTTCAGCCAGGATCCATCTGACATTGGCAATGATATCCTTGCTGCTGTGATGGCTAGTTTATAGTATATCATTCTACTCACTAAAGGTCATGAGTCTCTTGCAGTTTGAATCCACCAGAAACTCAGGGAGAAATGTGGACAGTTGCCTCCTCATTAAGGTTTATAGTCTTGGAAACTTGATGGAGTGTTGCTGTGATTCAAAACCAAGGCATGAGGAGGGAGTTTGAGTTTATGCTAATATTGGATAGAATAAGCTTATTTTATGATGCTAATTTTATTCCTTGATTTATGACTGCGATTTTCTCAAATTTGTATTTTATTTTTATAGAAGATTTTCACAAATTTTCAGTTTTGATCATGTATTTTCAAATTGTAAATTCTGTATTGTGAATAGTGTCTGGTTGATATTATTTCTACCATATGTAGTTCTGTCTCAAATGTTGAAGACCCGAATTTTGTCAGAAATTTTAATGTCACTCTTTGATCAAGAACAGATTTTACTATATGCTGTTTGAGCCTGTAGTCATCTTCACTTTGCAGTATATTTATGGGCAAGATGAATTCTAAAGGAAGGGGCAAAACCTGCGTTTATTTATGTGTATTTAGTTTTGTCAGCAGTAGCATGAAGAATCATCCAGCTTTATTCCCCATCATTTCAGTGCCACCCTCCACCTCATTCCCAAACTAAGAATGGCCCTGCGGCTCCACACATTTTTTTTCTTTCTTCATCAAATTCTTATCAAGGTATTATATACTGGTTTACTTACAAAGTTTATATACATTGTTTTTCACACCAGATCTTTCCCATTTCCTTTCCCCACCCCTCCCTTCATCCATCAAAGTGTGTGACTCTCGGATTAATTCTCCTCCTAACCTCACTCCTCCCCCTTTGGATCCTCATACTTGTTCTACAATAACAGTCTTGCACAGTATTTGTCCTTATGGGTCTGAGTTAGTTCACTTAGCATAATACTCTACAGTCCCTCCCAAGTTAGGTAGTGATTTATAAAATCATTGCTCCTGCATGCAACATAGTATTCCATCATGTGAATGTACCCTAATTTCTCAATCCACCCAATTGTGGGTGGACATTTGGGCTGTTTCCATGTTCTTGCTATGGTGGAGAATGCTGCTATGAACATTGATAGGAATCTCTGTTTACATCTTGTTTCTGATTTTCTTGTGGTATATTCTCAGCAGTAGAATAGCTGAGTCATACGGAATTTCTATTTTCCTCTTTTTGAGGAAATGCCAAACTGACTTCCAGAGTAGTTGTACCATTTTACAATCCCACCAACAAGGCGTAAGAGTTCCTGCCACATCCTCCCCAACATTTATTATTTACTTATTGTCTCATTAAACTTTGCTACTGCAACTGGAGTGAGATGGTATCTCATTGTGATTTTGATTTGAATCTCTCTTATTACCAAGTGATTTTGAGCATTTCTTCATGTGTCTGTTGGCCATCTGAATATCCTTCTCTGTGGAGAGTCTTTCCATGTTTTTTGTCCCTTTTGTGATTGTGTTAGCAGTCTTTTTTCTGTGGAGGCCCTATAATTTTTATATGAGACCCTTGTCTGAAATGGTATTGCTAGATGTTTTTTCTCCAGTCAGGTTTTCTTTTCACTCTGTTGGGAAAAGTTTTTGCTGCACACAAGGGATTTATTCTTTAGAAAGTCGCTTCATCAATATTATCCTTTCCAGATTGTGACTTCAGGGTGTATTTGGCAATATCTTTATACCTTAGACTAGGCTGTCTAGCTTGATCCCAATTTGTCTATGACGAACTTTATGATTTCGGGCTTTACTCTCAGGTCTCTGATCCACCTTGAGTTGATTTTTGTGCATGTTGTAAGAAGTGGATTCTTTCAGCTTTCTGCTGGTAGCAGTCTAGTTATGTCAGCACCATTTATTGAAGAGGATCTAATTTCCCCATTTCATAGGTTTTATTTCCTTGTTGAATATCAGTTGAGCATAGATAGCTAGGTCCATTTCTGGGTTCTCAGTTCTGTTCCATTGGTCTGTGTGCCTATCATTGTACTGGTACTATGCTATTTTTTGTTATTACCACTGTGTAGTTTTATCACAGTATTTCTGTTATTTGCCGTCAAGTCATAGCTGATCCTCTAATGGTTTTCAGAGTCAGTAAATCATACAGGAGGAAGCTGTCCATCTTTTCTCCTCAAATAAACTGGTGGTTTTGAACTGTGTGCCTTTGGGTTGGCAGTGCAACTCCTTACAGTTAAATCACCAGGACATATTTTAGCAATGATGTTTCTTCACTACAAAACAGTGAGGACTTAGCACTTGGGGAAAGGCTTTTCTTTATTCCCTGTGCTTGATACAAGGAACCGTAGGATTATAGTAGGCTAAGTGGCTGCTAGCTGAAAGGTTGGCATTTCAAAACCACCAATCTCACCAAGGGAAAAAAGATGAAATCATCTGTTACCATTAAGATTTCCAGCCTAGGAAACTATGGATGGTTGATAGAAGCAGTAGGAATCCAGCAGAATTCATTCACGGTAGTGGGTTTGGGTGCTTAATACAGAACGTATCACACTTTTTTTTTAAAATCCTCAAAATAGGTATAAAAAAATTATACTTTGTCATTATGTGCCATTGAGTCACCTGAGCCTCATAGCAACCCTCTGTACAACAGCTCTGAAGTCTGCCCTGTCCTGAGTCAGTCTCACTGATTCCAACACACTTTTTCCCAGTCCCTGTATCAATCCATCTCATCTGGAGTCTTCCTCTCCTGTGCAAGTCCCTTCATCCTTCCAAGAATGATGTCTTTCTCCCAACGTATGTGAGATTGAGCTTCAAAATCCTAGGCTCCAAGGAGAAACTTGTTTTCACTCTAAGACAGATCTATTTGTCTTCTTGGTCCATGGTATGTTCAAGACTCCTCCAGCACCACAACTCAAAGTATCAACTCTTCTTCCATCATTCTTAGTAGTCATTAACCAGCTCCCTGATGCATAGCAAGTAATTGAGAAGACCATGGCCTGGATCAGAGACATCTTAGTCTCTAGACTGGCATTGTTGCTTCTCTGTACTCTGGAAAGTTCCCTGACAGCAGATTTACCTAATGCAAGTTGTCTTTTATTTCCAAGAGTGTTGCTTGTGGAGCCGAGCAAGCTGTAACCATTAACAACCTCAGTAATCTCTATTATATACATACACACAAAGTATTCTTCAAATACCTGGCAAAGAAAATTACCACCAGTAACATTAAAAGCTTGCCCTAAATGTGTCTTGGATTTTTTAAAATTCTTACCCCTTACATGAAATATGGCATTCTGCTGAAGAAAATCATAACTGATGCCTCTTGTGTGCGGGGATTGTCCCCCACCCCCTTTGTTTAAACTAGTGGATTCAAACCTTTGGGATTGTAGTGGCCACTTACCACAAGACCACTAGGAGAACTCCCTAATTACATACAGACATCTATAGTCCTAGCTTTTTAA